GACAACACGGAATTTCAACTCCCTCCAAAGATTTTCTATGGGGTTGAGATCTGGAGACTGGCTAGGCCACTCCAGGACCTTGAAATGCTTCTTACGAAGCCACTCCTTCGTTGCCCGGGCGGTGTGTTTGGGATCATTGTCATGCTGAAAGACCCAGCCACGTTTCATCTTCAATCCCCTTGCTGATGGAAGGAGGTTTTCACTCAAAATCTCACGATACATGGCCCCATTCATTATTTCCTTTACACGGATCAGTCGTCCTGGTCCCTTTGCAGAAGAACAGCCCCAAAGCATGATGTTTCCAATCCCATGCTTCACAGTAGGTATGGTGTCAGCATTCTTTGTCCTCCAAACACGACGAGTTGAGTTTTTACCAAAAAGTTCTATTTTGGTTTCATCTGACCATATGACATTCTCCCAATCCTCTTCTGGATCATCCAAATGCACTCTAGCAAACTTCAGACGGGCCTGGACATGTACTGGCTTAAGCAGGGGGACACGTCTTGCACTGCAGGATTTGAGTCCCTGGCGGCGTAGTGTGTTACTGATGGTAGGCTTTGTTACTTTGGTCCCAGCTCTCTGCAGGCCATTCACTAGGTCCCCCCGTGTGGTTCTGGGATTTTTGCTCACCGTTCTTGTGATCATTTTGACCCCACGGGGTGAGATCTTGCGTGGAGCCCCAGATCGAGGGAGATTATCAGTGGTCTTGTATGTCTTCCATTTCCGAATAATTGCTCCCACAGTTGATTTCTTCAAACCAAGCTGCTTACCTATTGCAGATTCAGTCTTCCCAGCCTGGTGCAGTTCTACAATTTTGTTTCTGGTGTCCTTTGACAGCTCTTTGGTCTTGGCCATAGTGGAGTTTGGAATGTGACTGTTTGAGGTTGTGGACAGGTGTATTTTATACTGATAACAAGTTCAAACAGGTGCCATTAATACAGGTAACGAGTGGAGGACAGAGGAGCCTCTTAAAGAAGAAGTTACAGGTCTGTGAGAGCCAGAAATCTTGCTTGTTTGTAGGTGACCAAATACTTATTTTCCACCATAATTTGCAAATAAATTCATTAAAAATCCTACAATGTGATTTTCTGGATATTTTTTTCTCAATTTGTCTGTCATAGTTGACGTGTACCTATGATGAAATTTACAGGCCTCTCTCATCTTTTTAAGTGGGAGAACTTGCACAATTGGTGGCTGACTAAATACTTTTTTCCCCACTGTATTCCTTGCCACACATTCTGAAACTAACTGCAACTTTTTGTTAAGTGTTGCTGTCATTTCAGTCGCTGTGGTAGCAGACGTGTATAGTGTTGAGTCATCCGCATACATGGACACACTGGCTTAACAATCTTTGTCGTTAGTAAAGATTGAAAAAAGTAAGGGGCCTAAACAGCTGCCCTGGGGAATTCCTGATTCTACCTGGAGAGGCTTCCATTAAAGAACACCCTCTGTGTTCTGTTAGACAGGTAACTCTTTATCCACAATATAGCAGGAGGTGTAACGCCATAACACATTAGTATTTCCAGCAACAGACTATGATACATAATGTCAAAAGCTGCACTGAAGTCTAACAAAACAGCCCCCACAATCTTTTTATCATCAATTTCTCTCAGCCAATCATCAGTCATTTGTGTAGATGCTGTGCTTTTTGAAACAGGAAAGGGCCTTCCCCAAACTTGTGCCACAAAGTTGGAAGCACAGAATCGTCTAGAATGTCATTGTCATCAACTAAGTGGCCTAGCCCGAACCATGAAAAACAGCCCCAGACCATTATTCCTCCTCCACCAAACTTTACAGTTGGCACTATGCATTGGGGCAGGTAGCGTTGTCAAACCCAGATTCGTCCGTCGGAGTGTCAGATGGTGGAGCGTGATTCATCACTCCAGAGAACGCGTTTTTACTGCTCCAGAGTCCAATGGTGGCAAGCTTTACACCACTCCAGCCGACGCTTGGGATTGTGAATGGTGATCTTAGGCTTTTGTGTGGCTGCTCTGCCATAGAAACTCATTTCATGAAGCTCTCGACAAAAAGTTATTGTACTGACGTTGCTTCCAGAGGCCGTTTGGAATTCGGTATTGAGTGTTGCAACAGATTTTTATGCGCTACGCGCTTCAGCACTCAGCGGTCCTGTTCTGTGAGCTTGTGCGGCTGAGCCGTTGTTGCTCCTAGACGTTTCCACTTCACATTAACAGCACTTACAGTTGACCGGGGCAGCTCTAGCAGGGCAGAAATTTGACGAACTGACTTGTTGGAAAGGTGGCATCCTATGACGGTGCCACATTGAAAGTCACTGGGCTCTTTAGTAAGGGTATTCTACTGCCAATGTTTTAGCCTATGGAGATTGCATGGCTGTGTGCTCAATTTTATACACCTATCAGCAATGGGTATGGCTGAAATAGCCAAATCCACTAATTTGAAGGGGTGTCCACATACTTTTGTATTTTATACATTTTATGAATGCCCATCCATGTGGTAGGCCCACCATTTGTAAAAAAATATATATAATAATAATAAAAAGGCTGTTGCATTGGCTTTATTAGTCCTGATTCCTGTGACTAATCAATTTGGCTATTTAAGCTCTGAATATCAGCTACCCAACTTTATCAGGAGCTATTGTGAGCCTATTTACAATGTGTTTACACAGCGGGAAATGCAAAAGTATTTTCTTTTTCGCTATGATCAGCTTGTCAAAAATGGACGGATACAAACTTGAAGCCGCTGATCATGACAATGGTGTGAAACTCCTCGACAACAGTTGTGATTGTCCATTCCATATTGTCCATTTTACTTTGATCTGTCGTGTTTTTAGGATATGTTGTTTGTTAATATGACAGTTCATTTTTTATTTGATTGGGCGCCCTTTAGGTTAGGCTATTTGATCGGAGAAACCTGCATGATGTAAAAAGTGTCTGTCTCATTACAATGTCATACATTTGATCTCCAGTCTGTAGGCTACAGAAAAGGCAACATACTCTTTATACCATATCCTATATCTGCTACATGATTTATGTTATTAGATTTTTTTGACGGAACGTTGGTGGAGCGCCGCAGCGATGCGTCTCTCCAACAGCACCCTGGAGAGGCGCGCTGGGAATGGGCAAGCTAAATATAGTGGCTTGCGAAAGTATTCACCCCATTGGCATTTTTCCTATTTTGTTGCCTTACAAGCTGGAATTTTTGGGGGTTTGTATCATTTCATTTACACAACATGCCTACCACTTTGAAGATGCAAAATATATTTTTTTGTGAAACAAACAAGAAATAAGAAAAAGAAAACAGAAAACTTGAGCGTGCATAATTATTCACCCCCCCCCCAAAGTCAATACTTTGTTGAGCCACCTTTTGCAGCAATTACAGCTGCAAGTCTCTTGGGGTATGTCTCTATAAGCTTGGCACATCTAGCCACTGGGATTTTTGCCCATTCTTCAAGGCAAAACTGCTCCTTCAAGTTGGATGGGTTCCGCTGGTGTACAGCAATCTTTAAGTCATACCACAGATTCTCAATTGGATTGAGAGGGCTTTGACTAGGCCATTCCTATTTTGTGTATGTCCATTACATGAAATCCAAATAAAAATCCATTTAAATCACAGGTTGTAATGCAACAAAATAGGAAAAACGCCAAGGGGGATGAATACTTTTGCAAGGCACTGTATTTTGCGCCCCTGCCTTTGACAAAGTGGGCACTGTTTATCACAGGGCGCCATCAGTGCTCACCTAAAAAGCCCATATTCCAATGGTTGAGAGAAACTGTCATAGTTTTTGGGCATAATTATGTGATGTTTATGTGTTGTTGTTAGAGGTGTGTCTTGGTCAGTTTAGCTCAGAAAATGCTGCCTCGTCAATCTGCCGCCATAGGCGGCCACCTAATCCTGCCTAATGAGCAGGCCGGCTGTGGTCCGGGTTATATATAATATTAAGGAAAAACAAAGATATTTATGACTACTTGATTAATAAAGGGTGAACATTTTGATCATTGCCCCCTCACCCCATGACGTCAACAGGGAAAGTTGCCCCCTGGCTGGGGCTTACGTGCAGGGCTGTCTCCTCTCCCCCCTCAAAGACCTCTCGCCGTTGACACTTTCATGGCCTGGCTGAAAAGAGAAGTAAAGCAAACATTCCCTTTATCTGGTTCCACAGCCCTGAGGGCTAGTTGAGTCCCTGTCTGGGGCATGCTGTTCCCTTCCGCCCAGCAACAGGAGAAAAGCCTGCACTGCTGACAACCCTACACATACTGTACCTCTGTCAGTAAATGGTGAAGCAAAGCAGTAACATTTCCATAACATAGAGGCAGCAGTTGATTTATTTCTCTAAAATGTATTATGGTGTATTATGGACTTTGAACTGAATGGGGAAATCTTCCCATCCACCCATCTATCTTTCGATCAATCCACCCATCTATCTATCCATTAAACTAAAATCTCTCCTCTGCTGTAAACATTGCTCACCGTGAGATAGATTTGTTTTGCTCCCACCATCCCCAATCCTCCAACATTGCTCAGTCTACCCTGGCCTGGAATTGTGGAGAATTCTAGATTGTTAGAGAAGGCTGTGAGGCTGAATGTCTGCCAAATAGCCAGTCTCTAATGATTTGATGACTGACGACCACCCAAACTGTAGCGGTCCATTGAATACGTTTCTGTTTTCTGTTGGTATAGAATAGATGTTTTAGAATATATTTCAGAAATCCCTCAATTGTTAAAAGGTGTAAAAAGAAAAAGAAACTTTTGATACATGAATATCCCTTCATATTCAAGTTTGCATCCACATTTTTAATTTCTGCAACCCATAGCATAATACAATGGTCTTCAACTGGCGGCCTGTGGTCCAAGTCCGAGTCGATTTGATGTGGCCCGCAAAAGTTGCCTAAATGTAGTTAAATACCTATGTAATAATACATTACGTTGCTTATTCCAGTAATTCATTGGTCTCTCTGGTCTGTGTCTCCCTCCTCCAGGTGGTCTACAGTACAGTGTGGTGAGTTCCCTGCTCATTCCTAGCAATGCCGTCTCCTTGCTCTCTCCTGTGCCGACTGGCCACGCTTCTCTGTGTGTGGACACTATGCCAGGCCCAGTTGGACACCAAACCACCCCCTGGCACCCCCATCATCCAGCTGCGTCTGGCAGGGGACAAACACAAGCACTACGAGGGCCGGGTTGAAGTCTACTATAATGGAGAGTGGGGCACGGTGTGCGACGATGACTTCTCCATCCATGCGGCCAATGTCGTGTGCAGGGAGCTGGGCTACGTTGAGGCTGTGTCTTGGTCTCCTTCCTCCAAGTACGGCAAGGGAGAAGGTAAGGAACACAGGAAGAAGAGATAGTTCAGTAACATGTTGGAATCTGAAATCCACTCTGACCATTAAGACTTAATTAAAGGGATAGTTCAGAGAAATTATATTTTTTGAAACAAATACATTGTATTTTTTTGTCATTTAGCAGACGCTCTTATCCAGAGTGACTTACAGGAGCAATTAGGGTTAAGTGCCTTGCTCAAGGGCACATCAACAGATTTTTCACCTAATGGGCTTGGGGATTCAAACCAGCGACCTTTCGGTTACTGGCCCAACGCTCTTAACCTGTTCTATTACAGCAGAAAGATACATAGGTGAGATACAGTATGTCCCTCTTTGCAGGAACTATGATTAGCATAGCAAGGAGACGATGTCTCAATGGGAACACATGAGTCATTAACAGGGGCCGGTTGTGTTAATAACATCAATCATCTAGCTTTTATAGAGAGCAGCTGGAGCTTCATACAGCTCCATACATACTGTTTCATTTACAACCTTCAATCAGAATTATGGAGTTGGGAAAGTAATTAGACATATGACAGTACTAGAGATCTTCAAGACAAGGGGGATGATGAGATTATGTCTATGCGTCTGGCTTAGTGTGTTTCCAGTTGCCAGTCGTTTTCCCCACGTAGGGTTTGATTGGTGTGTATCAGATAGACTGTAATGGGTAAAACATTGCTTTTTGAGGGATTAGGGTCCAAGACAGGGTAAACATTAGTCCCGGGATTTCCATAGAACATATCACTCTGTTCTGAGCTGCTGAGACAGAAGTCATATAATGTCAGTGGTGTCTAGTTCACTGCATGTGCCCAGATGATTTATTGATCTTGAAATATGTAGACTGAAGAGTTGTTAGCTGGGAAAGCTAGACTTATTTTTTCCAGGTAACATAGGAATAAGGTGTGGATATCCACCAGCATAGGGCCAACATCCCCAGAGCAATTCTGCAACATTTATCATCTCAAAAGGCTGAGTTAATATGCCCTATCAGAACCTGAATGGAACATTATCAGAATGTGAAGAGAACGTTAGACCATTTAGATTAGTCTAAAGAGCCATAAAACTTTTTTTGACAAGTGATGGCAACTGGAATTCTGTAACACTTATTTCTTGCACGAATGGTCAAATTTGGCCATTCTAACCTAAGCAATAGGTGAGTTGTCAGGAACTTAAAAATGGATTTGATCAATCTCATGGCCTGCTTTATGAAGGTCCCGGACCCAGATTAAGCCTAGTCCTGAATTTAAAATAATGTTAAATGGAGAATATACTGTACATTGAAAGTTGATAACTAGACAGGTCCAAATTGTTACCCAAAGGTGTTGTCTGTTGAAGCCTAAAATGGATATAGGGTGTTGCTGTTGAGAATGGAGAGGGTTCCCTTACCTTCATGTGTTTCATGTGTGGTCATCAGAGAATATGTCTCTGTCCCCCATTGTTCGTAGGTCGGATCTGGTTGGACAACGTCCACTGTTCGGGACGAGAGAGAACCCTGGCCCAGTGTGAGTCCAATGGCTTCGGAGTGTCTGACTGCAAACACTCTGAGGACGTGGGAGTGGTGTGTAGCCAGAGACGAATCCCCGGCTTCAAATTCATCAGCACCCTCACCAACAATGTGGAAGTAAGCCTAAAAACATACAGACACACGTGTGAGCACATAGAAATGCACACACGCACGTTCATACACACAATTATGTACGCATGGCTGCGCACACACACACATGCCATCTACATGATTGCATCATGTTATGTTGCTTGTGTAGCAATTTCACAGCAATGCAGGACAGATGAGAATATGTGTTTAAAGTTTGAATAAACAACAGAGTAATAATTCTAGTGTCGAAATGTCTTACAGTTAGGTCGGTTTCAGTGACCGTATAACCACCACACTGGCAGTCATGAGTCATGACCGCAGTGAAATTCCACTGGACATGCGTTGGTAGTACCTAACTCGCTAACGACCGTCAGGTCGCTAATGGCCTGGCACTCAGTGCTCTATTGTCCCTCTAACCACTCTGACATCAATGTAAATGCAATTGAAAATCACATCAAACACTTATCATCAAAACAGTATCATTCTTTAAAAATCACCTCACTGTGATGATCAATTTACATTTACATTTACATTTTAGTCATTTAGCAGACGCTCTTATCCAGAGCGACTTACAGTTAGTGAGTGCATTCATTATTTTTTTTAATATATTTTTTTCATACTGGCCCCCCGTGGGAATTTGAAGAAAGAAGTTTAAAAAACTGGTTGAAACTGAGTGGAATTTTTTTTTTGGCTACTTTCTCAAATCATCAATAGCCTATAGTCACACCATGCAGCCCATATATGTTTTGATTTCTAAGACAGTCTAAGGTTTGTATCATTCACAACTAAATAGGACCTGTTTCAAATGATCACTTCTACGCTCAACATAGGCACACTCGTTCCGGAATGGGAAAAATATCCTTTCTATTTTATTCAGCTAGGTTCAATTATATTCTTCTTACTATAAAATCATATAATATTAAATAATGAACGGGACTTATAAGCATACCTTATCTGCTAAATTAACTAGATAACATACAGTAGGCCAACTCATATTCTGTTCTTCTGAAATACATTTTCTTCATATCATGTTTATTTAGACCTGCCTAAAATAAATAATGGATTTATTGTGATGGTGTACAGGTATATTAAATGGATTTATTATACTTTTTTAAAGATGTAGATGTTCCAAAGGCGCACATCAGCGGCTTGTATGTGTGGAGGCCTGGAGATGCTAAACGTGTTTATGTTAATTAACGGTCAATTACTGCGAGACAATATTTTGCATGACAATACTCAGCTGACAAAATGTCATGACCGCCACAGCCCTACATACAGTAAACCCTTTCATTAAACCTAGTTTCCATGCTCTAACCTGTTGGAGGCAGGGAGGGAGGTGGAAGGGTAGAGCAGGGAGGGAGTTGTAAGGGTAGGAAACAGGAGGATGTCTGAGTTATCTTTAATGAGACATGAGAAATGATATCACATTCCATCCAAACAAGCAGAGGTGGTTCCCGCGGGTGGTTTTATTTCGCCCCCCATGTTTTCTGAGCAAAACAATTAAATATACAGTACCAGTCAAAAGTTTGGACACACCTACTCATTCAAGGGTTTTTCTTTATTTTGACTATTTTCTACATTGTAGAATAATAGTGAAGACATCAGAACTATGAAATAACACATATGGAATCATGTAGTAACCAAAAAAGTGTTAAACAAATCAAAATATATTTTAGATTTGAGATTCTTCAAAGTAGCCACCCTTTGCCTTGATGACAGCTTTGCACACTCTTGGCATTCTCTCAACCAGCTTCATGAGGAATGCTTTTCCAACAGTCTTGAAGGAGTTCCTACTTATGCTGAGCACTTGTTGGCTGCTTTTCCTTCACTCTGCGGTCCAACTCATCCCAAACCATCTCAATTGGGTTGAAGTCGGGGGATTGTGGAGGCCAGGTCATCTGATGCAGCACTCATCACTCTCCTTCTTGGTCAAATAGCCCTTACACAGCCTGGAGGTGTGTTGGGTCATTGTCCTGGTGAAAAACAAATGATAGTCCCACTAAGCGCAAACCAGATGGGATGGCGTATCGCTGCAGAATGGTGTGGTAGCCATGCTGGTTAAGTGTGCCTTGAATTCGAAATAAAATCACAGACAGTGTCACCAGCAAAGCACCCCCACACCATCACACCTCCTCCTCCATGCTTCACGGTGGGAACCACACATGCAGAGATCATCCTTTCACCTACTCTGCGTCTCACAAAGACACGATGGTTGGAACCAAAAATCTCAAATTTGGACTCATCAGACCAATGGACAGATTTCCACCGACCTAATATCCATTGCTCGTGTTTCTTGGCCCAAGCAAGTCTCTTCCTTTTATTGGTGTCCTTTAGTAGTGTTTTTTTTGCAGCAATTCGACCATGAAGGCCTGCTTCACGCAGTCTCCTCTGAACAGTTGATGTTAAGATGTGTCTGTTACTTGAACTATTTGAAGCATTTATTTGGGCTGCAATCTGAGTTGCAGTTAACTCTAATGAACTTATCCTCTGCGGCAGAGGTAACTCTGGGTCTTTCTTTCCTGTGGCGGTCCTCATGAGAGCCAGTTTCATCATAGCGCCTGATGGTTTTTGCGACTGCACTTGAAGAAACGTTCAAAGTTCTTGACATTTTCCGGATTGACTGACCTTCATGTCTTAAAGTAATGATGGACTGTCGTTTCTCTTTGCTTATTTGAGCTGTTCTTGCCATAATATGGACTTGGTCTTTTACCAAATAGGGCTATCTTCTATATACAACCCCTACCTTGTCACAACACAACTGATTGGCTCAAACGCATTAAGAAGGAAAGAAATTCCACAAATTAACTTTTAACAAGGCACACCTGTTAATAGAAAAGCATTCCAGGTGACTACCTCATGAAGCTGGTTGAGAGAATGCCAAGAGTGTGCAAAGCTGTCATCAAGGCAAATGGTGGCTACTTTGAAGAATCTCAAATATAATATCTATTTTGATTTGTTTAACACTTTTTTGGTTACTACATGATTCCATATGTGTTATTTCATAATGATGTCTTCACTATTATTCTACAATGTAAAAAAATAGTAAAAATAAAGAAAAACCCTTGAATGAGTAGGTGTGTCCAAACTTTTGACTGGTACTGTATATCTTTTTTTCGTTGTTGGCCATGAAAGACAAGGAAATCAGCTCCAGGTGATTTTAATTTAAGAAATCAAGTATTCCCATGCATAATAGAGAGACACGTGATCGTATACAAATGTAAGCATGGTTTGAAATGATTATGTTTTAGTCAAACATTATATCTGTTTGGGTTTCTTGCAGTTAATTTGCAGTCTACAAATTATTTGTAATTATGTTCCGGCCCCCCGACCATCCACTCAAGAAAAATTAGTCCCGTGGCTGAATCTAGTTCATGATCCCTGCCTTAAAAGGTCTGGACTGTGATTGTAAGGATGAATCAACCAAGAGTTCCTGTATGGAAAGTTTACTTAGCACCAACAGAGACACATTTAGTTGGCAATGTTTGTTCATTGAGAGGGTCTGTGTGACTTCAATCAGCATGTCCACAACACTAAAGCTCGAGTTTAGTTTAACTCAAGTTTGACTCTATCTGTATTGATTTTGGCAGTTCGCTGGGAGTTGAAAAACAGCCTTAGCTAAGTTTAGGGATCACACAAAGTTTTGACTTAGAGTGCCCTGAACACACAGAGAGAAGCAGGTTTTGCAGTGGGCCGGAAACGTGACATCATAGAATGTCAACAGATGTGACACAGGTGGGCCACATTTTAGATCTTCCACTAGTGCTCTCACATTCGCCTACAACAGTGTGCTATGGTCTGTCTGTGGCCTGATGACTTTCCCACAATAGGCCCTTCTTTCTGGCATCTGGGATGCTAACTAGGTGACTCACAGAGAACCAGACTCTGACTGGTGTGGAGGAGATAACGACAGTGTGGATGACACACACATTCACACACACACACGCACGCACGCACGTGCACACACACACACACACACACACACACACACGCAAACACACACACATACATACACACATACGCACAGGGGGAATACCATCCCATTCCATCACGTTGATGAAAGCACTTCTGTGCCAGACGGAAAGTCTGCGTGGGATTTATATACCTAAAGGGAGGAGGGAGGCATTTCTGGTTTAACATGGAACACTTCAACACTAATCTAAAACTGCTGCCGTTCGACAGGAGCGAGGAAAAGCATGAGTATGGCCATTTATATTTATATGAGCCTAGCTCATCCAGGACTGTTTGTGTTTCCCTTGAATGTGTTTGGAATGAAATAAGAGTTTAAAGTCATCTAAAGCTGAGAGCCCAGTCTGTGGTTTATCTTTTAAACAGCAGTTGAGAGCAGCAGGATAGTGAAATGCAACAAACTGCGCTAGACTAAAGAATTGGCAGTGTTGCCCGGATTCAAATTCCAGTGGATTCTCCCTCAGTGTCTGTGTTTTCACTAGGCTTCATAAGATAACAAGGCTCTGGAGGATGTCTCCGATCCCTGTGTGTCTTTCTCATTAAATGACCAACTCCGTGAGAAAGGATGAGGTAAATGGAGAGTGGAGGAAGAGAGGTATTGAAATAGGACACGTGGTCATGACATGAACTACTACTTTCAAGGCTTAATGAAGCCTTCATACACCCTTTATAAGGCCTATATAGATGCTTCAGAAATCATTCATAAGCTTTAGCGTGGAATCTAAATGGGCAAAGCTAGTTCAATAGATGAATCCCTATCCTCAAACTTTACCCTGTTCTTTTAATACCTAGATGTCTGCTTTACAAGTACATGGCACCCTCCCGCTGTTTATTTGTGCCCTGTTTATATTTACCTCTCTATGGGTGTTATTACAGCTAACTGTCCCCACCCTGTCAATATTTCCCTCGACTGGCCAGAGTCTTTCAACTAGCAGGGGAGTGGAATGGGAGTGGAATGGGAAAAGGTGTCGTTTCGCCCCTTCACCAGGCCTGACCTT